TGTCCACAGAGGGGACCTTGCTCTTTTCCAGCGTGGATCCCAGCATCAAGGTGACCTTCCCTCCTGGAGTGACGGAGGAGACTCGCAGTGTCAAACTCCAGGTACGCCTGCTGGAGAAAACACGCCCCAGTAAGCCCTGGTGCAGCTGCTGACCCATGCCAAGGGGCAAAACAAAAGAAGAGACGTCTGCCCTAGGGCAATTTGTGTCTGACGTGGATGCTTCATGGGCTGACCCATCTCTGATCACTTTCTGCCTTAGTTTCCCTGCCTGCAGAACGGGCTGTGCGCCAGGCTGCCCCAGGGGGGAAAGGGGGTTTCCTCGCAGCTCTGCCAGCGATCCCTGCAGCAGGGAAGCCTTTGCCTCTTGTTCCATTACAGACCACACCAAGCCTGGCAGAACAACTCAGCAAGCCAGGTTTGGGGGAATTATTTATGCAGATCTAATATTAGAGCAGTCCCACTAAAAACAATTGCCCTGTAAAGCTGGTAGGTGCTGCAAAATGCTCCTGCAATAGCTCGGTCTGTCCCAGCTGGCAGTATTAGAGCAAACTTCAGCCGAAGGTCACTGTGCTTCCATTGCCCACCGTGTCCTGAGCCGAGAGCTGCGTTTGCTTACTGAGTGCTAGGGGTGCTGAGCAGGAGATGGGGGAATTTGGGCGCCTGACTGCTCGGCTCATTGCGCTGCGCTCCACATCCAGGTGCTGCCGGTCTCCGCGGAAGAGATAGCAGAACTCACGGCTGACGCGGGGTGCAGAGCCAGTCCTCTGCTCTGCCTCTCCCAGGACTCCTTGGTGGATTTTCTCAAGCCTGTGAGAATTCAGCTCCCCCTCCCCTTCGGGGTCACAGGTCAGTTTATTCCCAAAATCGGCACAGAGAAATTGCGTGTGGAAAAAAGCAAGTGGCAAGCTATTGCTGATGGGAATCAAATAGTGAATCATGAATGTGTGTTGTTGGAGATCATCATACTCTCAGTTTAAGGCTGCATATTCTGCTAGAATATCCTAGAAGTATTCGGACAGCCTCATCTTTTTATTGCTGCTCTTCTTTGACCAAGGCTCAGTCCTGGATGCTCAAGAGAAGGGCATGAGTCTTAACGTGGTGCATGTAAAAAGTAAATCACTCAAACCTGTGGCTGGGTATGTAAAGCCAAGAACAGAGGTAGCGAGGGAGATGCAGATATCCACCTCATATTTAAGTCTTCTGCTGCATATAATATCTTGATTGTTGTTATTAGGGTTAAACTTGGATCGGTCAAGGCTGCATCTGCTCCGTGGGGATGTGCAGGGCCAAACCTGGGATGACATTACCAGCCAGGTGGTGCTGGAACTCACCCATCTCTACGCAGTGTTTGAAGTCACCCACTTCTCCTGGTAAGTGCAGGGTTAGTCCTGAGGACAAGATGTTTCTCTGCCTTGCATTTCCCACAGCCCAAGCAGGGGTCATGCTACCTATTTCTCTTTCCCTTTGCAAGTCAGGCTCAGCTTAGCACTTTACCCATCATTTTTTACTTGCTGATAATAACCCAGATCCTTTTGCGTATTGCGCAGGTTTACTGGAGCAAAGCTCGTGGTTCTGCTCTCCTCACAATGCTCTCAGCCCTTCTTGTCTTGTAATGCAGAGAAGTCCAGTCAGATTTGCAAGCAGGGTGTCCTCGGAGGAAATACATTCCACTTAGTGCCTTTCCCCTTTGAATTTGTAGTCTTTCAGCTACGGATTTCCAGATCACACTCCCTCAGCTCCCTTTTCTTCCTCACTGGCCTCAGCCTCCCTCACTTTAAATATTATCCTTCCCTCCCGGTGTGAGTCCCTGCCTCTCGTGGACATGACGCCTGCCTCTCTTCTCAGACAGGATCCCTCCTGTTTCTTAATCCCTTGTGTGCCAGGTACTGGCTGTGGTATACCACCAAGACCTACATTGGAGGCATTGCCAAGAAGGTCTACGAGCGGTTGCGCATGTACCAGGTGAACTTCATTGCTCTGCAGAGGAAGAAGGACCCCGAGCAAGTCCTGCTGCAGTGTCTCCCCAAGCACAAGGTCTGGTATGGTTGCATTGCCTTGCTCCTGAGCTCCCTGGGCCTCTCTTTGTAGGATTTAAGGGCAAGAGAGTCTCGTTCACCGCTCCAGAGTCATGACAGGGGTGTGCTGTCACCACACGGTCTGGGCCTGCATATCCAAGGCTCTGCATAATCCTCTGACCTGGTTGCTTCTTTTTCCTTTATTTGTTCTTCTGTATTGAAATGACGCGTGGAAAGAAAATCTGTCAGGGATGTATCTTGGATCCTGGACGAAAATTCTGCTTCCAGGGAAAGCAGCAGTGGCACTCACAGTGAGATCAAGGTGCTGCGTGTCTGCTTGCCTGCCAGGGGTGGTCTTGGGGTAAGAGAGAAGGTTTACTGTGATAAATATAAAGAAAAACAGACACCTCAGCTCTAGCTTAACATGTGCACTGCTTCTGAGACCCCAGGTCTTACACTGTTATTCCAGGCTGCAATGCCAGAATGAGTTTTCTGGTGCTTCCTCTTCTGCGTTCTTGTAGCACATGTTTTTTTGCAGAGAAAATGTTTTTTGATGGCATACTACAAGGAGGAGAAGGTAGCAAGTAAATCCTTGTCTTTGAAGGTTACTGACCTGTTAAAAAAAAGAACAGTTGCTGATAACCCTTTTTTAATGGCAGTTTTGGCCTATCTTTGTTAGCCCACAGAGGATTTTCTTCTCTTTACTTGGGAAATAAAGAAGCCATGAAACCCAGAGCACCACTTCTTCAGTTGTGAATGTGTCTGGGACATAGGGCGTGGGTGTTTGTTCATTCATTTGCATCCTTTCAGTGGAAGATGGACTTTCCCTATCAAAGATGAGTGAGAGGAACATGGTGGGCGTAGGGACACAGCTCTGAGGACAGACTTCTGTGTCAGACCAAACATGGGGCCATGTGTTGTCACCTTGCCAGGTTGACTCAGTGTTGAAGAAGCTGCAGGACCGCTACCGAGGACCCGAGCCGTCCGACATGGTGGAGATGTTTGAAGGAGAGCAGTTCTTTGCAGCTTTTGAGCGAGGCATCAGCATCGATATGGGTATGGTAGCACTGAGCTCCTTTCTGCTCTTACCTCTTCTGCTTCCCTCATCCCAGGCCTGTTTTTCTGGGGGCTGTACTCCTCCTTGGTGCACCCTCAGTTTCCAGAGCACTGCTCGCCCGCCGCTCACAGCCCCTGGACGCTGAACCTGTCACATTCTCTGGTCACCCAACTTTTGTGTCAGCTTTTCCCTATAAAAATGCTGTTTGCAGGCTTTCATTTCCTGTCATGCTGCTGCGGCCTGCAAAGGGCAATATCCAGAAGGGTTTATTCTGTGACTGATCTGCTTCTGCAGCCAGTTATGCCCTTTTCCTGGCATCTCAGGCAGTGCACTGGAATGCCCTGGGTGATCTAATTCCTGTTGTCCATTTCTAGGTGAACATATATAAAAGAGGCTTTTTGGAGAGGTTATTTCTGGAACAATCCAGAGCAGAAAATTCCCGTTGCCAAATTTAATGTGTATCCCAAGAGGGAGCAAGACCCTCATGTTTTATCCTTCCATTCTTGAACTCGGCCTCCACCTTGTGGCCATTCTTCTTTCTCACCTGTAGGACCTGCGTGCTCCACAGGCACTTTTCTGCTTTCCCAGCGAGGAAAGGAGGGTTACAGCTCTTTCAGGCCTGAGTAGAAGGAGTAGATGGTAGCATGGAGGCTGCCAGTGGATGGTGGGCTGTTGCCCAGGCTTGAAAAGGTGCACACTTTCTGCACAAGTTGAGTGTTTGCTGTTTCTCTGACACAGATCGCCCTGACTGTGTGGATGGACGTCTCTCGTTTATTTTTTACTCCCACTTGAAGAACATGAAGGAAATCTACGTGACTTCCCCTGTAGACAGGAAAGGCCAAGCTGTAAAGGGCCAGGTGAGCAACAGTGACACGGACATTTTGTTTCCTCCTCCTTCATCATCATCATTGCTTTTATAATGCGCTGTGTGATAATCTCTTGAGCACTGGGCATGACTCTTCCTCCCCTCTTTCCCTTGGCTTTGCATTTCACTGACTAACCCCTGAACACATGGCGAGCAGAGTCTGGAAGGATCACTCATCAGGATAGCTCTCTGCCTTTACATTCCTGCCATTAACTCCTGGGGTGTTGGCAAAGAGTCCAGCCTTTATGGCAGAACCCCAGTGTCCCTCCCAGTCACACTTAATTGGGCAGTTTATGGACTGAGGATGGGTGAGGAATGCTGAATTCATTCTTTCGCAGAGAGAAAACTCATACTGCAAACAGGTTTGTCCTCTGTGCTGGCATCTGAGTCTCACTGTGTGCTTTCTGTTTGCCAAGGTCTCTTTCTACCGAGGGGCAGTTCCTGAGAGCATCCCTGAAGAGGCCAGCAGAAGGAGGAAAGGACCAGACTCCCTCTGGCTCGCTACTTTGCCAATCAAACTGCCTGTGAGTTATTCTGCCTCCTGCAGAAAAATTAATCCAGATTATCTAGTTAATCAAGATTATCGAAATCACTGCCCAACTGTGTGGAAGAAAGGAAAGCCTCTTCTCTTTCTTTTAAGAGCTCTGTGTGTGTAAAGGAGGGGTGTTAGCTTTCTGTAAACGAAGCGTAGGGCAGGGTTGTGGTGACAGATCACTGAAACACAGCCAGGCACAATTCCATGAACCTTCTTGGGCCAGAGTCCTATCAGATGTGCACCGAAATCTCCCGTGTGCTTTTTGCCTGTCACGGTGGAGATTTCCCGCTCCCCGTGTGAACTTCCCAAAAGGGAAACATGAGTCAGTCTCCATCTCTCACACTCATCTCACCAGTCTAGCACAGGCACTGGAGGTGGTCAGAGAGGGTGGATCCTTTATATAAATGAGGCATGTGGAGGAGGAAGCTTGCTGTGACTAAGGGAAGTGTCTGCTTTGGTTTTAAATTTCTTAGTCACCCAGCTCATACTGACAGCCAAAAAAAAGGTCTAGGATGAGGTAGTTACAGGTGTTGGGCTTAAGTATTCTGGTGTGAGCTATTGGCTTAAAAGGCCAGTGAGAGAGCCACTTTATCTTACAGAATTTAATTGGTTTTTTTTTTGAGAAGCTTAAAGCAATAAATACCTGTGTAGTCTGAATGCTTCCCTTCGGATCACATGCCATGATCTCTGATCCTTTTTTGACACATACAACCTCACCTGGGAATCTAGACCAAGTGCTTTCTTACTGACAAGGCAAATACGATCTGGGGAGATGGTTCACCAAAAAGTGCTCTGTGAAGACAAGAAAAAAAGTTTCCAGTATGAGCTGTGACTGAGAGCATTATGATTTGAAACTTTTCAGAAGTACTGAGCATTGCTGGTCACTGCCAGTGTGAGTGCTCCTTGCTTTTTACATCTGTCTCTTCAGCCTCAAGTTAAGATCTCCCCTCCTTAGGAGGAAAGCTTTCAGGAGGCTGAATGGCCAGACAGACACAAAAGTCAATTTATTTAGCAGGTTCCCCTTCTCTCTTCTCTATGACACAGAGGCTGAAACCCCGCTGGGGTGAGAACCCCAGTCCCCAGAACGGTTTCTCCTTCTCTCCCCTGAACCTGGGCAACGCTGAGACGGGCTACCTGACCCAGGCAAACCTGCTGAGCATCGCCAGGCGCGTGGGAGCTGACTGGCAGACCATCGGCCTGAACTTGGGCCTGACCTACCAGCAGATCGAGCGCATAGGGTACAACCACAGGTAAGTGGGGACTCTGAGCAACAGCACGGGCAGCTGCAGTGCAGTAGTGTAAACATATGCTCAGGTGGTGGGAAGTTTCCCCACTGGAATTTTGCTGGATAAAAGATGGGTTGAGTAACAGCTCTCATGACTTTGTCATGGAAAACTGATTATTCTCTCTTGCTGCTGTAAAACAAAGCTTGACGTTTGAAAAGCAAAATTCAGAAATTACCAGCTTGATGAGCTTTGTAGTTCAGTTGCGTGACATTCCTGTTGTGTTCTGTGGTCTGCATTCCCGGCCAGGCTCCATCTCCAACAATGAGCAGTTGTCCGTGGCATTAAGTGTGAATATCTGTATTCAAAAAGGTCTTGTGGCATGTTGTAGGACATGCGGTCTGACCAAAACCTTGAGAGAGTGGGGCCTGTTCCTGTGGGAAATTTACATTAAGAAAAAAATTACCCCTTTAATTTGAAATTTCTGTTAGAGGAAGATATTCTGGGGAGATTTTAGTGCGGGAACTACAACTGCTGTGTGATGGGTGGGGAAAAGGCAGCCCCACTAAGGGCTTTGTTCATGTCTGGATGGCTTCCTATGGGGCTCCAGGTCTGGGCTTGGACTCAGGTAAGGCTTCTTTGGGTTGCCAGCCAGGAGAGTGTCTTGGTTACTTCTGCACTTATACCTTTCTTCAGAGAGGACCTTGATAAGCAGATCCTGGACATGCTTTTCTCATGGGCTCAGCAAAATGCCGAGGATCCTGACTGTGTGAGCAAGCTGATCAAAGCCATGAAAGAGAGCGGCCGCCAGGACATTGCCGACGAGGTTGAAAGCATCATTGAGCTGGGGCGGCACAAATACAGGGAGTCCATCCGCCGGGTGGGCTTGGAGCAGGAGAGCAGCACCGAGGACTCTGCAACAGCCGCGATGTAGCACCCAGCAGGAAGGAGCAGGCTTCGTGTGGGGGCTCCCTCTGTGTCCCTGGGGTGACAGCGCCTTGGGGCTGCTCCCTAGGGGCCAGTGTCTTCCTGAGGAGTTGGCCACTGATTTAATTGTGAGCAGACTACCGAGCTCTGTTGGGTCTATACCTGCATGCCACTTCTACTGGTGGAAATTCGTAGTGGCCAGGCAGTTCATAGTGCATTTATGAGCCTCTCCTGTGCAACCTAAACATTAAGCGTTAGGTTTTAGAAACAGGAAGACGTTCAGAGGCTGAAGTGTCTGCCAGTTGAGTAGTGGCTAAAGTAGCCTTCAGTTAATTAATACTGATTTTACATATATATCTGGAACCGTCTTCTGCTGGAAAAACAGGGTGTGAGCATTTGCCAGTAGGTCTGTGTGTGCTCTGGTGCTTGATGAGAAAGTGGAGATGCGATCATGTGTGAAGTCAAATGGTGCATGTGTGAAGTCAAATGGTGCAGTTCAGCTACTTCTGTCCATTACATGCATTGCTCACATGAAAATGTGAGCTGTACTCCCCATGAAAATGTTTACTGTTTTCTGCTAAATCTCTTCTGGTTCCCTCAAGGCCAAAACAAAACCTAAGGCTTTGTGAGGAAAAGAGAAGAAAATAATTTCTAGCATTTTGGGGGGCTCCAAAAGCTATTCTGGAGCAAGTAAGGAAGTTTCACGCTGTCCCTAGGCTCCTGCACCTGCCAAGCTTGTTAGACGAGATCTACAAACTGGTGGTCTTTGATAGAGTGCCAGTTTTATTTTACAAATAAGTAAAAGTCAATAACCCCGCTGTTTTGGAAAGATTCTAACTTGGCTGAAAGTAAAATTTCCCTTGCAGTTTCAAAGGGTTATTGGTCACAGCCACTCTGTGAAATGTGCCCGTGTACTAGTGAAGGAGTTTGCAGAGCTGGGTGAAAAGCATGATATCAATTTGCATTTTAGAAACTGGCCCAGCCAGCTGCGAGATAAGCACTGTTAAGGGGTTGGCTTGAACTGTGCCGAGCTAACCTCCCGGTTTTGCAATCTGAACATCTTGTAAAAGGCTGTAAGTATTTATTGTTATTTAACTGTCCTCCCGCTGACTGCTGAGGTGCCCTTCTCCTCCTGTCACCCATCTCGTAGTGTGCCTTAGCTGACAGCCCACTGAGGGCAGTGGGAAGCTGCACGCAAGCTGTTCAGAACAGCGCTGTAATCTGAGTGTATTCAGCTCTTTCAGGACACGTTTGGACTCAGTATATCCCACTCTGAACAATATTTAAAGGGCTGCTCTCAGTCTGCAAACCTGTATGAAAGTGCCAGGTTGTAACACCCAAAGTCAGCCTGAAGCTGCGGGTCTGAGCAGTCCTTGTGCTTTCTTCCCCCAGTGAAGAATCACCAGTGATTTCCCTGATGCTGTGCTTCAGACCTCCCATCAGTATTGAAAGAGGATAAAGAGCATAAAACTGTTGCATTTTTTCTTTTTTAAAGGACATTCTTACATCTCAGGCCACAGAGCACATGGACTGGGTGATACAGCACTGGACAAGGACTTGCAGACGGACTCAGATCTGATTTCTTAGACCATGCTGCCCCTCAAGATTCATGTTGGGTTTGTCAGCAGTCCTCTTTTGTGTGCATGGAATCTCTGGTGTAACCCGTGTCATTTGTTCTTGCCTGTAATTTTGATGTACACCAACGGGGTATTTGGTTTTTCCTCCAGTTTTGGAGAGATGCATTAGGGCATATTGCTCTCATTGGGAATAATAATAATAATAAAAAAAGGTGCTTACCTGTTTCATGTCTCTGCATGATCTGCTAACCTATAAGTGCCTCGAGGTACTTGCTGTGTTACAGCTGGGTCCCTTCACACCTGCGGGCAGAAATACGGAGGTGAGCTTGGCCATGCTGCATGGAAATGGGGAGGAGAGTCCAGGGGGAGCAGGTCCAGGCAGCAGTAGGAGAGAGGGAGGGTAGTGCCAAGCGTTACGGTTACCGAAGGTCTGTGCTACAACCAGGCCAGGCGACAGGAGATACACATGCCAAATCCTAGGCAGTATCATCAGGACTTGTGCAGATCACACAATGAAAGGGAAGGTAAGTCACTGCCCCAGAGATGTGCTGGTGTCTGTCCGTCCCTGCTGAGCAGCAGCCACTGGGCTGGTGGCCCTGGTGGCAGCAGGACTTCTTCTTGTAGCAACACCAAAGCAAGCGCTGGGCTGGGAATGTGGAGGTGCTCGTGGAAAATCAGAGCAACAGCCCCAGTGCCCTTTTCTTCAGCTGACTTGGCATCAAATATTTGAGCTGGATGAAGTCAACAGAAAGCACGCTATTTGCAGGCATGTTATCTTTATCGATAATCTCTTTGAGGCACAGTAACTCCTTCTTTAAACCTGTAGTTGCTGTGGCCAGAAAATGCTGGTTACGTTGCCATACGTGGTTGAAGCAGAAAAAAAAATGTGGCATTTATCTTTTGCTTCCTATTTTCCTCTCTTCTTTCACAAATTGATTACAATTCTTGAAATTGACTGCCATCAGAGACAGTCAAAACAAAATAAAGGGGGAAATTGTTCTTTTTTTTTTCTCCTCCTTTTTGACTGCAACGTCTGCACCTCTTTAATTCTCATCACCAGACTCTCTTCCACCTCCTAGAGCCCTACAGACCTCCAGCAGCATGACCCAGGACCATGAGCAGTGCATTTCCCAAGCACCCCATGCCCTCTGCTTCCAGCTCCTGCTAATCGCAGCACTCCTCTAGCCGCCAGGGGCTAGCAGGCTCAGATAAAGTGCTTCCAGCCCATAGGTGGCTTAAACATTAATAAAGTTCATTGGTGAGAAATGAAAGCCTAAGCAAAGCTCAGATGGGTTTGTTAATTATAAAACAACACAGGCAAAGCCTGGCTGTGCCCTGGCAGGGGTTTTACACTCTTGACACAGCCCCGCCAGTGAAGGGGTGCACAGTTCCCAGTGAAGGACCTGAAGGGAGCGTGGACGGGGCAGTCAGCTTGCAGGGGCTGCACTCAACTTGTCTGCTGTAGGCCAGACAAAAATGCTACAAAGCAGCACACAACCACGGGACGGCTCTGTTAAGGGACCGGTGATAGCTGTGGTGTTTGGAGGACTGGCTGGTTCAGCCATGACCCTACAGAGCTTGCTAGGAGGGAGCACAGAAGCTACCCCGCCAGTAGATAAGATTTCCTGCTGATTGGTACCCTAAAGTTTTTCTTCACGCCCATACTTGACTGTGTTATGCTGCTCTTAAAAGGGAAAGAAAATCCAAATCCCCTCAAATGCACCATTTTCCCCCAAAAGGAGGATCACAGCAGCTTTCACTGGGAAAGGTACGGGGCAGAGCCCCAGCCCAGAGCTGCCTGGAGGTGAGCCTGCCATCATTGTTGGTTGGATGTTGTTAAAATAAAGCAAACAGCCTTTGGGAGAAATCTGTGTCCATTTTCTGAACTCTGCATAAATAAATTGTGTGTTCTTAAAGCTCACAATTTCTTATTTTCCTGTAAATCTGTGGAAAATTTGGCCTCCATCCTTCCTGCCTCGCAGTAGGCCCGTGTTTTTGACACAAGCGGGTGGTTGCGTTGGGAAGGCAGCACAGGATCCTCCTGCACCATTTGCTCATGGCACAGCAGAGCAGCTCTTGCCTTTTCCAGAGAGGAGACGGTGGAACTGGGAAATGTGACAGGGTAGGAGGGATGCTCGGAGGAGAATATCACGGAGCATTTTTTCCTCTCGGGAGGGAATGAAGGCTGAGTAGGTGTTTGCCATCCGCTGTTCCACGACTAGGTGGCAGCAAGTGAAATAGTCCAGCAGCACCTGCCAAAAAAAAAAGCCAAAGGGAAGTACTTTTTTTTTCCCCCCGCTGTGCATAGTTCTAAAGCTGACTCATTGCTGTGAAATGTTTGAGGTCAAAATATAAACGTTGTGCTCGGAAAGTAATTGGGTAAATTGGTGGGAAAATGAGCTGCTGAGCGCCAAGCGAGCATGGAGCGCTGAGAGGAGCTTTCTCAGGCAGGGGGTGAGTCAGGCAGCACTGGGGCACGAGGGAAGATGGAGCGGGCAGAGGGAGCGCATCAGACATCGGGGACATGGGGAGACCACGGGCAGAGGTGGCTGCTGCCCTGATCCCTCCTCGGAGCCGGGAGGATTTCGGTGATGGCCCCTAACAATCAGGCAGCACCATCCAAAGGCAGAGGAGATGCAGGATTCTCACCCTGGGCACGTTAAGCTTGGGCACATCTGCTCTGCCCTGATTTTACCAAATGTCTCTGCAGAGAGCTGCAGCTGGAGGTGTCGTCCAGCACTGGCCGTGAGCAGGAGGTGAGGACGCAGCACTCTGGGTGACCCCGGGCATGTCCCAGCCCAGCCACAGCTCTGCCAGGGCTCTGCCGGGACTCAGACCCGGCCTTCTGGAAGTGTTGAGCAACCCCAGGCTTAGACACGCAGCTCAGTGTGTTCAGGAGAGCAGGGCTCGTGCAGGGTGTGGCTGCAGCCCCTCTGGAGGGCCCTACCTCCCCACTGGGAACCTGGGTGGTTAGGCTCCTGGTTGCGCTTTGTTGTTCTGATAGACGGAAGCTTTAGATTGCAGCGGGTAGGACAGGCGAGCTGGCTGAGGGATGTTGCAATCTTCCCCTTGCTGCTTGCAGCAGGCTCGCCCTCCCTCTGAAAGCAGTAACACCTATCCAGAAGAAGGACAGATGTTTTGGCTTTTCTTCCCTCCAAGCTGGAGAAAAAGGCAATCCTCGTGATGCTCAGCTTCTCCCCGAGGACGGAGCTGAGATCGAGCAGGTGCTGTGACGCTGGTTGGAGCTGCTCCCTCCCAGCACCGCTTCCCAGGCAGGTCGCTGGCCTCTGGGGCTGAGTGTGTGCTTCAGCAGGCGGCTGGAGAAGATCCTGGTGAGGCTCTGATCCTGCTGCGCTGAGAGGAGCAAGAAGACACCCTCAAAAATCCCTTACGACAGATGATTTGGTCACAGCCCAGGCAGAGAAAAGAAGATCCCGCTGCTTAACAAGATATTTTCTGACAACTGCTGCGCGGTGACGATGGCTGGAGGGCAGAGACGGTCAGAAACAGATCCATCAGCTTCCTGGGGAAGGAGCTCAGGATCCCTCAGTAACACGGCTCTGAAAGGGCTGGCAGCATCTCCCAGCTCTGGGTGAGGCAGCGTGCCCAGGAAGCTGTAACCCTCCCTGCAGAGGTGTTTCAAGGAGGGTTAATGCGGCCGTAGGGCTCTCTTAGTTGATGGAAGGGCAGATGAAGAAATAAGCTGGGGAGAGAAGGGAGCAGGGTAAAATCCCAGAGCAAACGAAACCATTTGCAAATGCTCAGCTGCATGCCCTGGAGGAAGAGCACGATGCTCCTCTGGGCTGCCATGTCCATAAATCCCTCTGCAGTGGGGCAGGTGGGGCCTGTGGGACGCCGTGGGGCAATTTCTCAAGGGGCCGAGGGGCTGAGCCCTGCCAAAAGGCTCCTGTGGCAATAAGCGCCCGCAGCCGCCAGCTCCCTGCCAGCAGCCAGGCCTGGAGTGGGACCTGGTGGCTGATCTCGCAGCCAAGACAGCTCCATTCATCAGCACTCGATAAACAAAAGTGCCCCGCTCCTTTATCGGGGAGATAAACGCGCAGGGCAGCAGACTGGCTGCTTTGTGCTCCCTGTGCCGAGTGTGGGAGGCTGCCCCGGCTGCACAGCGGCACCGAGGCACTGCTGCTGCAGGAACCAGCGGGGAGAGATGTGTGGGAACGGGGTCACAGGGTGGCAGGCATGGGGAGATGCTTATCTGGGGTAGCTGTTCCTGTGGGCACGCCGCAGGAGCTGGGCCAAGGTGTGAGTCAGGTCTTGAGGCATTGCCGGCACCAGAAGCTGCTTCATAAAGGGGAGAAAATCCCCTTTGTGAATTTTTATCCTTTTTTGGCTTCTTTATGGTCAGAACTTGAAATTCCTTCTGCTTGCTTTTTACATTTCTTTTCTTCTTTCAGAGCCTAACGATGCTGAGCCTCAATCCTGCTTTTGCTGGAGAGCAGTGGCAGGAGGGTTTGCTGGCCAGCTAGAGAGGAACACATGTGTGATCCAAGCATCAGGGACTTTCCCCCTGTTGTTTGTTGGGCATTTGAATCAAGTAGCTGCTAAAAATACAGCTGCAGCCTCCCTCCACCGAGTCATCACTCCACGGGAACAGACAGACCATCCTTGCTGGTAGTCCTATGGTCTTTGGAGACGACAGAGGCAGGCATGGGGCAGAGCTGTCCCCTCCTGTGTCCCAGTCACTCCCCACCTGCATCCTCTTCCTCTCTCCTTTCGTACAGGTGTAGATGTAAGGCTGAGTGTCAGCACCAGAAAATGAAACCAGACCTGCTGGGGCAGTGGTTTCTGGGTGATTCCCAGCGTCCAAGCCGACTGCCAGCTTTGAATCCATGAATCATTGGATTCATCTTTGCATCAGCTAACACTCCTTCGCTGCATTTTTTGTGGTCGGACGCCGGATGCCTCTCACATCACCTCTGTGCTGTTAACTCTGGCAGCCTACCCTATGATCCTAATGAAGAATGAGATCAAGCTTGTTTGAGATTGATTCTTCCTGAAAATGACGTTGACTGGTGTTAGCAGTACGTTACTGCCTCTCCAACCTTTACCAGTTGGATTGTCTACCAGCACTCTGATTACCGTGTCCAGGGTGGCCACCAAGGCAGCAGTGACCAAGCTCGTCAGATCTGTCTTTTTTAGTGTCGGTTTAATCCCCACACTCCTCGCGCACCTGGGGATTTCACCGGCACTCCGTGATTTATTGAAACAGAAAGCAATGCAAATGGGGAAGGAAGCTGCAAAATGCAGCCTCGTGAAAGCCTCTTCCCCTGCAAACAGACTGAACTCTCCCCGTTTCCTCAGCAGCACCAAAACAGCCGGATCCTCGCTGTCAGCCAGCCTGACGCTTTCCTCGCCTTCCGCTCCGACAAGCCAGGTGGGATTTTGAGATCTCAATTCCGCACGGGGAAAGGCATGGGGCAGAGAAACACGAAACCTTGCCTGCCCTTCTCTGGGTGGCTGAACCGTGCCACGCAGCGGGTTTCTCTGCACGGGAGGGCCTGAGCTCTGCTCCTGGCCACGTGTGGAAGGGCAGGGGGTGCGAGCCCACCGCTGCGATCTCGCCTGGTCCCCTTGTCGCAGATCAGACAGCACAGGTTGCTGCTGCTTGTGAAGCTCCACTTTGTACCCAGCAGTTTTAAATTTTTTCTTGTGCTCTGTCAGGAGAAAAAAAAATATGTTCGAGAGCACAGGAAACCTTGACAACCTGGCACTTGCTGAATGCGAATTCTCTTCCTCTGCTTTTTTTTTATCCCCTCTCTTGAAGGCTGCCAGAGGAAGCGGGTCCTTTGCTCCATGCAGGTTACAAAGAGCAGTTGTTCTCATGCAGCAGAACCAAAAATAAAAACGGGTGATTTTGCAGTCCTATTAAAACTCAGCTTAAAGCAGGCCAGCGTTAACCTCTTCTGTGCCAGGGGATGGCACTGTCCAACCAGCCCATCTACAGGATGGCAAGATACGATAAACGGCAAAATCTGTCCCCAGCTACCCATTCTGAGTTCAGTTCAGCTTTTGTCCGTGTGAAACCTACTGATGTCTTTGTGAATCAGGGCAGAATGGGGACCCAAGGAAGGCACAGGCAGGGC